TAAATCATTATTATTTAATCAGTTTAACAATTTCCTAACCCTATCTACTAATTTAATAAATCAATACTCTGTTTCTTTGCCTCGATACTAAAAAAATTGGGATATTAATATTTCTAAATAAGGTACGAATATATTACTTTTAATACAATTAAATCTACATATAGAACAACATCAGAATAGAGTGTGACAAACGCAATAAATCATAATATAAATTATCTCTTTTAATTTTGAGAAGAATGAGTATGTTTTATATTTTATTATTTTATTTAAAATATATGAATACCAATATCAATTCCATAATACTTAACCACGAGAATTTAAAACTTGACACAAATCATTATATAGCTTCAAACAACCAATGCGGTCGCCCAAATAATAGGAACCAACATCTGAACAGGCAAATAGTGCCTCATATGCTTGCATTCAGATGTGACTCTCAAGTGCCTACACAGAGAAGACAGCACTATATAGTGGACTGGTCCGCGGTTTTGTTCCGTTATTCTACCGCTGGCTTCGCTTCTCCTTCGCGCCTTCTGTTCATACAGCTCTATTCTCCTTTGGACCGCGCGTCCCCCTCTGGGACGCGAAGTTACGACCATTTTCTGGATCGCGTGTATATGCGACCCACAATAGACTTCAAGGGGAGCATCGAATATAGCTGGACTGATCACGGTAAACTTTCTCCCCTCTCCGTCGCTCTTCTCGGCATCCTTTCTTCTTGACCGTTTCTAGAACTTAGCTCCCCAACGAACCTCCTCACGACAGCTCTTCCCCTTCGTCTCGAATATCCGATAATCGGAAGTTAACACAATATTGACTCTGCAGGCAAAGAACGCCACAGGCTACAGGAATAACTTTACTCCCATTCACGCGTTCTCTCTATTCAGCCAAAATGGGGCAGGGCGGCCGAAATCAGCAAACCAAGGGGTTTTGTCGTAAATACAGGATTATAGCCGTTAAATACTTAATCCAAGGATTTAATCAATCGCCAGGATTAACGCCGGCGGCACTTGAAATCGTTTGGCTGGATTTTCCTAAAATCCGGCCAAATCCTCTGAATCCGTCGACCAGAGAGGATTCAGGGATTGGTATAATCTTTTTTTTCTCTTTTATATATATATTTTTAAATTAAAAAAATTATAGTTTAATTAATTTTTAATTTAATTATAATTATTATTTTATACAAATTTTATATTTTAATTATCATTAATGTTATATTTTATTAATTAAATATGTTAATTGTTTTAATTTATAATTAATCTTATAATCAATAATCATTTATAATTAATTAATTTTAATTATTAACTTTATTTTATTTTAATTAATAATTGATTATTTTTAAATTAATAATTAATCAATTAATTATATATATGTTATCATAATCATTATATTAGGAATAATAGTTTATAATTTAATTTAATTATAATTAATTTTTTTAATTATAATTAATTATTTAAAAAAAAAAAGAAAGAAAGAAAGAGAGAGAGAAAGATGCCTGCCTGTCCTCTCACCTCGGTCCACGAGCCTCCTTCTTATCCACGAGCCACCGCCGGACTTCAAGTATAATTTCTAACCTCCCCCTCGCCCGTTCCGTCGACGTATTATAGCCGAGCGGACCTTGGAGAACCACTTATATGCTGCTCTTGTAATACTCGGTAGGAGGGAGCCCGGTGCGAAGCTCATACGACGAGGCTGGGTAAGCCCTATAACACGCTCTTTAGTAGCGGGTGGGGACGTCCTCGACCTCGACCTCGACACCGACATCGCCAGACAACCGCTACGCAAGAGGAATGATGTTCCAAAATCCCATTCTCGACGTTGCAGCGGACCGGGGACCACTATAGCAACACTGCTAGACCCTGTAGCACGATTGGTAGAAGAGAGCCCGGTGCGAAGCATACGGCGAGGTGGGGAGCCCTATTAACACGCTCTTGAAGCATGGTGGGAAGGAGCTACTGGTGTTCTTACGCGGTACTGCTGAAGCCCCATACACGCTCTGTGTAGCGTAACGACTGGGAATGAAAAATCACAGGTAACTTTCTCCCTTGCCCAAGCTTCCACGGCCAAATCCCCTAAATCCGTCGACCGAGAAGATTTTAGGGATTATAGGGATTTTAAATTATTGTTATTTTATATATAATTAATTAAAAATAATATTAGTTATAATTAATTTGATTTAATTATAATTAATCATGCTAATTTTAATTATTTTTAATTAATTATATTTAATTATAATTAATTAATTATATGTTAATTATTTTAATTATAATTAATTAATAATAATCATAATCATTTATAATAAATTAAGTTTAATTATAAATGATTATTTTTATTTTTAATTAATTATTGATTATTAATAATTAAATATAATTAATCAAATTAATTATAAATTAAATGTTTTTTATCATAATCAATTAATATTAGAAATAATTAGTTTAATTTAATTTAATTATAATTAATTTTTTAATTATAATTAGTTATTTAAAAAAAGAAAGAAAGAAAGAAAGAAGAGAGAGAAATGCCTGCTCCTCCTACCTCGGTCCACGAGCCTCCTCTCATCGATCCACGAGCCACCGCCGGACTTCAAGGTATAATTTCTAACTCCAATCCCGTTCTCGACGTTTGCAGCGGACCGGAGAACCACTTATATGCGCTCTTGTAGTACGGTAGGAGGGAGCCCGGTGCGAAGCATACGACGAGGCGGGTAAGCCCTATACACGCTCTTGTAGCGTGGTGAGGACGGTCCTCGACCTCGACCTCGACACCGACATCGCCGACGACACCGCTACGCAAAGGTATGATGTTCCAAAATCCCATTCTCGACGTTTGCAGCGGACCGGGGAACCACCTATACGCGCTCTTGTAGCACGATAGGAAGGAGCCCGGTGCGAAGCATACGGCGAGGTGGGTGAGCCCTATACACGCTCTTGAAGCATGGTGGGGAGAGCTACTGGTGTTCTGTACGGGTACTGCTGAAGGCCCCATACACGCTCTTGTAGCGTGGTGGGATGAAAATTACTACGGTCGCGGTGTCTCAGGACACCTACCATACACGCTCGAGTAGCGTGGTGGGAAGGCCCAGCTCCCCTATTTTCCCCCAAACGGGGGATATGCCGGGGTGCTGCCGAAATTTTCATTGAAATGTACAAAGAATTGAACAATTTGAAAACCTTCTTGGGCAACAATATAGAAGACCTGTACTCGAACCATAATACACAGAAATTGAACTGAATGAGCAGAGGACTTGTACGAAGAACAGAGGACTTGTGGACCTAAATCTGAACAAAATTCTAAATGATTTTTAAAGGTCAAAATCAAATGAAATAAAATCAGATTGGAATTAAATTCAAATCATTTGAATACAAGATTGCAATTGCAAAGATTCCAGAAGACTTTGAACAAGCACTTGAACTTGTTCTTGGAACTCGAACTGTGCAACATCAGATGACCCGAACATAGAACTCAAACTCGAGTGAACTCAGACTTGAACTCAATTTGAAGAATGACATGAATTAGACAATATCACTTGAACTTGTACTCTAAACTCAAGACAAATTCAAGTTTGACATGAACAATAAGGAGCCTGAACTTTCAAGGACAACAAGGGAGACTCAAGCATGAGTGGAACTTTGAATTCGGGTCCGATTGAATACATAAGACTGGGACTTTGGATGAACAAACCAATCAAAGTCTAAGTGTACAGTCGTCCAAGCTAACAACAAGTTGCAAGTGGGAAATGAAATCCTAATACTCACGAAAGAAGCATGCAGCGAACTCCTACGACAATCCCTATAAATGCCTGTTGATTGAGATGGCAATATTGAAGACCGGCAATCAAAGACCTGCCCCTAAAGCAAAAGCAATCGTCAACCCACCTGAGATTGGTGAAAGGGTGGGCATGATACAAGAACAATGGTTCTTCTACAAATACCTTCAGGAGGTCGTAGAAAATACAACGGGTCCCATAAATATGTACAAGTCACTTGTGGATAACAACAGTGTGTATTGTAAGTGCAATGAACCACTGTGGACACAAGTACGGATATCACCTATGATAACGGTGATTAGGATCTACAAGCATGTCGGGTACAAGAATAACCTGGTGTACGAAGAAAGACCGTCCCCTGTAAATAAGTACAATTAGCAAAATCACCCGAGACTGGTGAAAGGGTGGATATGATGCAGAAACAATGGGTCTTCTATAAACATTTTTAGGAGATCGTAGTAGATGCAGCGATCCCCTGCAAATGGATACTTGTGGATAACAACAGTGGATATATCGTAGGTACAACGAACCACTGTGAGCATAAGTATTGATATCACCTACGACATTGGTAGTCAAGATCTTCAAGCACGTTGGGTACAAAGACAGCTCGATATACGAAAAAGGACACCCCCTGACAGAAGGGAGGAAATGTTTGAACAAATTAGAACCAAACTTCCTGGTGTTCTAGAGTCTCTTCTCAATTCTATACTCGAGAAGAAAACAGTTCGGGTGCCGACAAACACCGAAAATAACAAGTCCATTACACCGAAGATCCTAAAAAGAGTTCTTTCCAGATCAGTGATCATTGACCCCAAAATTTAGAAATAACCTCCCCGGTGAATGAGAAAGGGGGAGTCAATACCAAGAAGCACGCCACCGGACCCGCAATATCCATGCAAGCGGGCAGAAGGCGTTTACAAAATGTTTCAAAGTACCCCTGCACATACACTATAGTTTGTATACACATAGGTACACAATGGGGTACGTCTAAATCAATATAAAAATCATCCGCATGGGCCCCGACGAGCGTATTATTGGTACACACATGACGCCTAGGGATGCTGCGCGGGTCGATAAGTGAATTCTAGTTCGAACCTGATCCTTCTATACGGATCAATAGGAGTCAACAGGGTTCGAACCATTAAACAAATACATGATTGTGGCGACCTGTGTATTTGTTTCAATACATTCATATTAGACCTTCAAGGCCTACAATTAAAAGAATTCACTAAGCAAAAGGCATGAAGCCTATGAAACTCGATTCTCCTTAGTGGATAAATAGGAGTAGACAGGGTTCGAACCATCGGATAAATATGCGGTCACGAAGTCGATCAGAATATTTATCTTATACATTCATATTCGGCCTTCAAGGCTTTCAACAAAAAAAAAAATTATGAACAAAGGCACAAAGCCTACGAGAAACCCGATCCTCAGTCAATAGCTTGTCTGAGTTGACAAGATTCAATCAACAAATGGAAATGACCCCAAACACTCCGATGATGGCCGTGTTGAACGCTAATCTCAACCGGAGGGGTTCACAAAATATTTTTAAATGTCATCCAAGCTCCACTCAAATATCCAAAATCCATTTTAAACTATTCAAAATGTCCTAAAATTTCTACAAAATCCAAAACTCCACAAAAAGCCCAAATTTCATATATTTAAAAATGAAATCAAACCATCAATCGCTTAAAGCAAAGCCCATCCACCCTCCGCAATAGTTTGCCGAGGTGGACAAATTCAAATATGACTTCAGCTCAAAAAGAGCCAACTGCCTGGTCGAAAATATCACTAGGATCCATTCTCAAATAGTCTCCTGCCAGTAAGGACGTGGTATGTGTCCTCTGACCGGCGGTTAGCCGCCAAATGGCACCGCAGGATAAACAGTTATGATGACTCGGGGCCCTCTGAACCGAGTGGTTTTGCCGCCAAATGGCACCACGAAATACCGGTTACGGCCAGCGCCAATACGTTCCTTAGTGACATCAAATCCTTGAGATATGAATCAATATGATATAATCGATAGGGCACAAAGCCCTTTGTAAGCTAAGGTGGATTCAAATTTGTCCCCTTAGACAAACATTCAACCCAGGTCTACAAGGTCCCCTTAGACGAAGCAACCCATGGCTGCCGACAAGGATCCTTCTGTCAGGTTGGGTCGACTACCTCCTCTGACTAAGTAGACCAAGGACCACGATGGCCCGGGACGACGGAACCATGGGATCTTGATTGGGCCCATCATACATTCCCCCACCATCCGCTTTAAGTGCAAGATGGTGCAATTTTTTTTATTTTAAATATCATATCTTCCAACCCAAAATCCAAAAACCCATCTCTTCAATTCCCCAAATCCAAACTTTTCAAATTCTTATGCCCATTGCTGCTACTATATGCCTGGTACTACGTATCTATGGATACAACGTATCTGATTGACGACTAGCCTTAATCGAAAGTTCTCTCTCGTTACCGGGAGGGGTAATTAACTATAGGGGCTTGCGCCTATAGGAAACCAGAACTCAGATCATAAAGTCCTCGCAAAATGAGGGTGAAATCTCTGGGTAGTGTCTTATCTACAAACCCATATGCCTTCCAAAATTTACCCCAGAACTTATCCGTTAAAACTCCCCTCGCCTAAGTAAATGCAATCAGTATGCGCGGCGGGGAGGCCGGGGCCAAATTTTCGGAGCCCACATACAATTGTAGCTTATAAGCAGTCTTGTGAAAGAACTAAAAGGAATTTAAACTTTACAACTCCCTACAACTTGCATATCAATTTCCGCTTCCAAAACTATTCTATTTGCTGATTCTACTTAAGGCACGCATGAATTATCCAACTGGAATTCTATCAAAGATCTTTAGGAATACTTTCCTGGATGATGCATGTAATTCTAATTAGTCTCAGAAAGAAAATAACAACAAAAAAAGGTAAATTTTTCTTGATGCAGAAAATCCATGTTTACAGAAAAAGAAAATTGTATGTAAGTCTAATAAACTAACCTTGGCCTGAATAAGAAAAGCTGATGATGCCATGTGAACTGCATATTCTACAAAGTTTTCATCTTTAATAAATATGAACGTGCCGCTTGTGTTCAACAGTTCATGTGCTTGTTTGGGATATAGCCATAATTGTGCTTCCTCTAAGCAAAATAATGCCACGGGCAATCTTCTGCTGTTACTGACTAAGCAGTGAGCTGCAATGGTCCCAGAACTATTAGGAAATGGCCAATATGGACATGAAGCATCCTTGTAAGCAGTGTACTCTCCACACCACCACATCTTCATTCAATAGGTGATAGGGATGATCAGTCACCATAATCAGTCCTATGGTTGAAAAGCCACAACTTGGCAGAGATGAATGCTTTTACAGTGCCTTAATCTCCCAAAGCTACAAAATCCATCAATCACATAATGGTTCTGTGACCAGAAGCTTAATTTTTTCTTCGAGAAACTCGAGAACATCTTCTCTTTTTTCCTTCAGCAACAATTGCCTTAATCTCCCAAATGTTGAGTCCGGGGGCCTGATGCCTTTCTCAACCATATCTTCCAAGAAGACACAAGCCTGGCCAACTTCCCCCTTCTCACACAAACCATTAATAAGAACTGAAAAGGTATGCATGCTCGGAACATGCTGCTTCAATCCCATGTACCTCCACACTTTCAAAGCGTTATTCAACATATCAGTCTCACAGAACATCTTTATCATCATAGTATATGTGTCTGAATCAGGTTCACAATACTTGATCATCCTACGAAAAACTCTATATGCCTCATCATTCTCTCCAGCACTTATCAAGCTGCTCAGAATTATATTGCAGGTCCTTGAATTCGGTGGAATGCCCTTCTCTCCCATCTCTTCTAAAACTCTTAAAGCATTCTTGAACCTATTCACCCGGCAAAAGGCTGAGATCAGAGCATTATACACAGCAACATCTGGCTTCACCCCATTCCTCTCCATCTCCAAGAAGGTATCCACAGCATCCTCGATACGTCGCTCTGCACCATAGGTGTGAACCAGCACGCTGTAGATAAAAGATGTTGGTGGACAGCCCCTGGACGGCATCTCCCGGACAAGATTTACGGCCTCCATGATTGAGCCAGTTTTGCAAAGAGCATCCACCATGATGCCATATGTAACTATATCGGCTTTGCAACCTGTCTCTGCCATTTCATCAAACACCTCCCACAACCTTGGCAAGTTGGGCGCCCGCCCCCATCCTTCAAGTAAAATGCTGTAAGTTTTGACATCAGGTTTGAAGTGGTGGCGCATTTGATTGAACACCTCATGGGCCTTCCTCACATTCTTAGATTTGCAGAAAGCGCCAAGCAAGCTATTGAAAGCAGCAAGATTTGGTACTAGGCCAAACCGCTCTATCACATTGAAGGTGTAGAGAGCCTCATCAACCTTTTGAGCTCTAGCATACTTGCGAATTATGATTGAGAATGTTTCAATATTGAGGACTTCCTCACGGCGCATGAGGCCAACAATATTCCAAACAAGCTGATATTGTCGAATCTTGGCGAGAGAACTAATAATGGAATGGTAGGCACGAACAGTGGTTGAATATCCTTGTTGCTTGCGAGTCCACTCAAAGAAGCGGTAGGCAAGCATGCCAGCATTCTCAAAACGGTGAAGGACCTCCTCAGCCATGTCCGGAGAAACCAAGATGCCACTATCATCTAGGGTTTGCTCCAGTGCCATCTTGGGGCAGGATAACATGATCCGACAAATCCGCTTCACGGGGTTGGAACTTTCTGGTAGGGTTTCACAGTCAGAGCTATAAGCTCTTGCAATTGACTTCCAACTACCATATAATCTGCAAGATAGGCAGGGCTTGATCATGCGTTAGCATTGTTTAAAAATACGATAAAACAATCACCAAGATCTTAACGGTTTCCATTTCATATGGCTCCAGGAAAGAAGTGCTTTTAAAACATGAACTAGTTTCGTTTAACAACAAATTTATTGAAACATTGAGGGTGCAAAATAGAGGACCAGGATGGCAATCAAGATGGAATTACTTCAAACAAAACACAAGCATTTTATGAAAACTTTTTACCTAGAATAAGTTTAAGATGGTCCAATTGAGGTACATAAAAATAATAGAAACATAAAAAGGGCTTAAGAAATAAAAGCAACAAAAATGCTTTTAAAACAAACGAAAAAGGCAGCTAAAACCAACCTGATAAAGATTGAAGCAGCCTTTCTAGCGCCCTTTTCTTTACCCATTACGTTTGGCAAGTACCTACAAACATAGGATAATCAATTTGGCTGCTTTCCTAAACCACAGATTCCAAGAAGTAAAATGCATTGAAAGCAAAACAAGTAAAAACATAGTTGCATTATTCCAAACAAAGTTGGCCTTTTGTCCTACTTACAGGTCTGACCTACTGAGAAACTTAAGAGGAAAAATACAATCCGGATGGATTCTTGCCTTTTTCTTGTTTTACAACAAATGGCCTAGAGCTCCAACTCTGAAGTCCATAATTACAAAATTATGACTTGATCCCCATTTTAGTTCATGTTTTTGAAAGTAAAATAACAAGATCACAATTTGATGATGCAATTTTCACAATCACCATCACCAGAAACTGCAAAATATGATATAATTAACAACCTACCATTTACTATTCCGATTGAAACAACGTCTCACTTTTTCATTCAAATTAACCGAAACAATAAATGAATAAATAAGCCAAAGGCTTGCTAATGGATAATAGTCACCATAATTAGGAATTCAACTCTTCTTACACTGTAATGTGGGGCTATTTTACAATATCATGTGAATCTTGACAATCTCCGCCACATATGAGAGCCCTTCACGCCAGCTCCATTTATTCTGAAACAAAGGTATTAAATACCATCAAGTGATGTGCACTAAATTCATCAAATAAAAGTCACCAATAGCCCACTAGTCACATGGAGCTTATGTGGGAGCCATGTGCTCTCTTGAATGCTCAACCGTGTAGGAAGCGAACAAGATCTATGGAGGTCATAAACCGAATGAACCATGAGATTATAGTCGAATAATCAGATCTTACCACTTCTTAGAAAAATGAAATAGAAGAGGCCAAAATTTAACCCAACATGCTACAGCATTAACACACAGACCTAAATGATGTGAAACAACCAACGGAATTGCAGGATCTTATTAAGAAATTTGTTTCCATAATGACATTATCACATTAATGATTCACTAAGTTAGGATTTCCGATTTTCGTAGTTATTAACTTGCTTCTAGCATGCGGTTACACATTAGATTAACAGAGAGATCCGAAATAATGACAAGAAAATAGTAAACAAATATGTGATTAACAATAATCCACTACTTAACAATTAGAACTTTCACCTTAGAGTTTCCCTCTCGATCGTTCTTTGGAAGTAGGTTTAGCGGAGGACAAAAGTAAGCAAGCCCAGTGATGCCACTGCAAGACAGAGGATGCTAGAGGTTTTGATCAACTGAGAGTTGGCCGGAGTTGGAGAGACCGGTGATCGTCCTACGATCTTCCACGATCCTGTAAGCTATTGCTCCTCAATGACGTCCGCCAAAGTAAAGAAAATGCGTTCCACGTATTCTTCGACGGTACCTTCGGACCCAAATCCGGGATCGAAGAACGGTGATTGAATGATGTCGACTTCCTCTTGAGAATCGTAAACGAATCCGTGATCAACTTCCGGATCCGTCATGCATTCTTGTCGAGAGATGGAGCGCCAATGTAGAGAAGAGGGAGAGGAGAGGTGGAAGTGGCGGTTTGGGAAGGAGAGGGGCTTGGCCGTGAGCTAGAGGAAGAGGGAGGAGGTGAGCCATGAGGGTGGTCGGGTTGGGGCTTCGGTGAGGATGATTAGGGGCGAGTGGAAGAGTCTTGAACACATACCTGCCAGTTGTTGTGAATTGAGGATATGAGTAACAATATTTTTGGAATGCTTAAAATTCAGTATGAAATAACAATCTACTTAAACATATTTAATACAATATTGAAAAATAGGAGTGTCAACAACATAGATGGAAACATGATAGTCATAATATAGAGTCATATAAGCCAAGCAACAAAGAAACAAAATCTACTAAAAGAGTTTTAATCAACATTATTTTGCATGCAGAATAAACTATAGCTCTATATTTTGTTTCAACAATTGACCTAATTACAATAATCGATTTCTTGGTTTTCGATATGAATAGATTTTTTTTTTCAAAATTGGTTACACGGATAAATTCCCCAATCTTCAACACATCCAACATAATTGACATAAAAAATGCTTCAATATGCATATACAGTAAATAACATCCCTTCCTGGAGAGTTTTTGATATGTTTGAAAATTAACTGAATTGGTCCTCAATGCTTCTTCTTTCGGCTTTCTGTTTGTTAACTAATTGACTTACTATTTTAGCAACAAATGAGATGTCTGGTCTAGTAAAAATCAAAAAGTTATCATCAAACATGGCCTGAAATCTCAACAAGAGTATCAACAGTCTAAAGAAGGCATGTTTCTTCAAGAAGCTTACTAACACATAACCTTTTGGGAAAGTAGCATTTTTTTTACAATAAACAAATTCAATTCCAAGAAAGTACTTGGGCCATTCTATATCTTCAATGACAAAGTAATTTTGCTTAAATTATTTTACCTCAAAGATGTTGTGGACCACTTTCACTAAATAAGATGTCGTTAACAAAATCTGTTAGTATGATGGATCTTACAAGAGCATGCTTAATGAAGATAGTAGTGCTATTGCGAAGAACAATCACATCCAATAATTTACAATGTTTTATCAAAGCACGTCTCTAGACTCTTTTTTGAGGCAGCCTTCCTGTGAAGAGAAATATATGGGAGATTGCTTCATATAAATAGCTTCATACAAGCCACCTTAATTACATCAATTTTTAGTATAGTCAACTTCAATTGATGGTCACAAACAAAAAGGTTTTAAATAAAATTTGGGTGCGCAATTGGGGAGAATGTATTAAAATAGTTGATCCCATGGACATGAGTAAACCATTTGAAAACTAAGCAAGCATTGAAAAATTCAATTGATCCATCAAGATTTATTTATATAACCTAAAAAGACCCTAAAATAATAACATTTTAGAATCCTCCAAAATGTAGCTTACAATTATAAGTTTCAAATCACAAAATCTTCAAAATAGTAGAAACCAAGCCTTCCTTATATGCCCAAGTCACTAGACATGGCTTCTGAATTCCAGCAATGGCCGCCAGTCCTATAAGGAAAAACCACAAAAGCCAGTAAGCAAAGCATGTAAAACATCAAAGCATATTGCATGCAAAAGATGGCCTTAGCTGTGTACAAGGGAAAAACTGCAATAGGCAATAAACAAAGCAAGTGAATTCCAACTTGCAGTTCAATCTATAGTAGGGATAGGCAACTCCGTGGCTGAAGGCAGCTGAACCAATGATAGAAAGAAGGCAAATACAACCTATAGGAAGGGAAGGTTGGAACGTAAATTGTTATCAATGTTGATTGAATTAAAATCATATGCAATAGTGAGCCAACTTACAAGGTGATCAAAATATTAGAAACACATCTCATCCTTGTGGGTACCAACATCATAGTTATGTTATATTAAAAAATAAATTAATGAAAAAACATAGAGACAACAAGAAACAATACCATTACATTGATTTATATTTTCAATTAATAAATACTTTCATATTTACATTACATCCTGGAAGAAAAAAAAACCACTTGGAAACAACTTATTTGAGTTAGGTACTTCTAAGTTCTATCTGATTGTTAGATTTAAAATGTTATATATTAATTGGAATAATTTAATGATTAGCATCCAAATATTGCATGCAGGAACTTTTATTGCTGACTGAAAAATGCTTGTGTATTCTTCACTAGGACTCGGATGAGATTAGTTCTAATAAATCATGTATGAAGAACAAAGAATACAAAGCACTTAAGTCGCCCACACTTTACGGAAATCATATTTGGTCCCTTAAGTTTGATAAGCATGCCTTGGCCCCCCATCGGTCACAGTCTTAGTATGTTTCTCCTAAATTAAACTGCTAGATTTCATTAAAATGGTAAAGTTCACCTTACGCATGGCTTAAACAACCCCTTAATAAAGTAAGGGTTGTTTTAATTGCGCACTACGACTTACTTGCACCTCATTCCTTTCACTTTGGATTGCACTGTGTACGCCCTTATCCTTCCCCATCATTCCTTTCACTTTGGATTGCACTGTGTACGCCCTTATCCTTCCCCAACTCCAAATAGGTCCAATTTAGTACAAGTTAAATACTCATATGATAAATTATGAATGGATTTGTAATCTGAAAGATCCATAAATCAGTTTGCAAAATATCAATTTGATAGAATGGTAAGGGTTTCAAATGACGCTATGAAACAATGGTATCAAAATGTGATTTAAGAAATAAAAATAGTGAGAAAAATAGGGGACCATACCTTCTGTGAAAAATGACGAGCTAAAGTGTAACTTTCTAAGCATGAAGGACCAATTTGTCACTTTTACTCAGGTTAGAGTGCCAAATTGGGATTGTCTATTTTCGAGACTTCAGACTTACATTTTTGGACAACTATTGTTAGAGGAAAAAGAATGATTGAGCAAAGGAAAATGTCAGCTCATTTATTTCTAAATTTCTTATTTTTATTCTCAATTTAGCATAAATTTAGTTGTCTACTTCTACTGCTTTCAACATCAGAAACAATAAGGATATTTGGAATTTTTTTTTGGGAAGTATATCTGGAAAAATAACTAAGAAAAATGCTAAAATGCAGCTTTCTTAGAACAATAGTTTAGTTAAATGTCATTTGGGATCACCTTTATTTATTTATTTATTTTTTACTTTATTAACATTTTGACATGAACTAAAATAGATTATCTTTAAAAAAATCCATATTTTTACTTTTATTGAATATCAAATAAATTGATTTATACTGTAATGGTAGCGTTCAACAGCAGCCCCATAGAAGTACTTGGCAAGACAATAATGATGATGGTGGTCTCCAACGGTGGTGATGCCTGATCGATTTTGATAGTAGATTTTAAAAACACTCAAAACACCTCAAAGCTGTTCCTTAAAAGCTATTTTAAGTGTTTTTAAAAATAACTTGATTAAAAACTTTAAAAAAAAAAAAAGTTAAAGAAACAGACTAGACAAACGTATTCTTGAAAAACAAAAAGAGAAATCCCAAACAAATCCCCTAGCTTCCCAAAAGATTACTTTTTATGGATCTTAACTTTCTTGCCTAATTAACTAATGAACTAATTAGTTGATTTTGATATATTTATTACCATTGTGATAGTTTACAATAATTGTATGAAGTTACAATAATATTCATGGTAGTCATTCAATCAAATCATATACGTAACATAAAATTATTTTACTAAATAGCCACAACTTTTACAACACTAAAAAAGTTAAAACAACGATCTTAATATGATTTTATCAACAATCATTTGTTTTACTCAATAACAAAAATAGCATAGCATCCATTTGTTACGCCGGCCCAGGAGGGGCCGGCTGGACCGGTCCAACCCGGACCGGTCCACTGTTACTCCAGGCAGAGAAAACAGACGGGGCGGAAAACGTGAGGTCCACATAGGCAGCTTGGGGGGGAGATTAGGAGGGAAATTTTGAATGAGAAGGCTGTTTTAGGAAGTTTATTATTGTCCTTTATGATTAATTTTGTATAATTAGGAGTTTGGGGGGGAATTTGAATCTTATCTTGAATTTGAGTTTTCTCTTTGAGATCTAAGTTTTGTTTTGGGCTCTTGGCTTCGCCGGAGACTTTGGAGAGTACGTTCTTCCTCTCGAATTGAAGAACAAATTGTATCTTTGCTATTTTCATTGTCTACTAGTAAAATACAAGCGTTTTCTCCTCATCTCCTGCAGTTTTTCTCTATTTTTCTACTGTTTTTGGCTGATTTCCTGCTGTGGACAGCAACTCGCTTTGAGATTTGTTGCTAAAGTGATTAGGGAATACTTGAAATCAAGTATTTCCTATCACCATTATACAACAAAAGAAAATAATAATGCCAAAAAGAATAAACATACAAGTATTACTAGTAATTACTATCATAACTCCATTTATTTTTGCACACTTAACACACACGTCTACCAAATAATTTAGGGGTTGTTTGACTACAAGTACGAATTAACTTACCAAATCCTATAAATCAAGTTTTATAAATGCTATCTAGGTTAAATCATCAAAAACTGTTCCACATACAAGATGTTAAATCCAAAAATTCAAGTAAATTGTTTAGCTATTTGTTTTAGGATTTAAGGACTTATACGAATGGAATATTTGAGACTTATTAACTTTTAATTAATTTAATTAAACATCCCAACTAATAATTGATTAGTAATTTACTACGACAATTAAATAATGACTTAAATTTAGACAAATTAAATTAATAATAAAAATAATATCAATTAACCTAAAATAAGAAATTTTTAGTTAACTGCACAAAAAAAATTGCTTTTTAATTACTTGATCAAAGGAAATAGGTAAAGAGGAAAATGCTGGTTGAATCTTTATCAGAGTGAATCGACATAAGCTGTTCGGCTGAAGCTCTTTAAATGTTTCATTAGTTTTAATAGACACTTACAAATCAGCAAGGAAATTAAGATGTGTAGCAGAAACATAAGGAAATAAGGAACGCATACATTTAGAAACAGAAGACCGGCGACTGCGAGATCTTCTCAAACTCCACTAGGGTTTTTGCGAGGTAACGCCACACTATGTGAAGGTTGGAGACGGCTTCGGGTCGCGAAGATTCTAATGGCCGTTGGAACGTAAATTCTCCGATCCAACGGTCTGGAAAAATCAGAATAAGTTGAATGACACAACAGCCAATTTTTTGTATTTATTTATATAAAATACCTCTAACATTAATTTATTTAAATAAAATGTATATTTTAAAATTATTTAGATGATAAATTATTATCTATAATCAGAGGCACTGCCAAAATTATTTTTAATAGAGCATAGAATTGTTATTTTAAAAATAAAGATAATTATTAATAAAATTTAAAGTTGACAAATAATAGTAATTTTTTCTAAAAAATAAGTTTATTTTATTTAAAAAACATAATTATTGTTAATATTGATGTCATTATTAATAATCATGATTTGCTAATATTAATGTTAATAATCATGTAATTATTAATAATCATAATTTTATTTAAATATTTCTAATATTATTTTTAGAAAAAGGAATTCAAATTTTATTAATGAATAATATATAGTTAAAATTATTTTATTAAAAAAATTATGATCCTATTTTTCTAATGAGAATATCTAATAAAAATTTTGTTTACTTTCTATAATTAGTTAGTACACTATTATTATTATTTTATATTAATATTTATATCAATACAAATTATTATCATTAATATAAAATTAATAAATAAAATGATCAAAACAAACAAACTTTATTAATCAAAACCTATCCTACAAATAAACTACTCTCATTTAATATTTCTAGTTTTCTATCTACAACAACAACATCAAGCCTTTATCCCACTACGTGGGGTCGGCTACATGAATCTAATTTTCTATCTCCTCCATTAAAATTCTACTCTATTAATTTTGCTTAGTCCACACATTTTATCACTACGCCGTAAAACTCCCAATACAATCTTCATGACTATAGCGACCAGCCAACTATCATCACTAGATGTTTAGCTGCTACATACACCTCTCCTTGGAAGCCTGTCTTATCGAACTCTTCTATTTTCTAGAAAAAAAACACTACAACATTGTTCTCAAGGCCAAAAAAAAATTTAATTTCAAGGTTACATCTAGGGATGCAAGTGAGCCGAGTCGAACTAGACTCGTTTATGGGCTTGCGAGGCGAGCTTATCGAGCTCAAGAGTTGAGCTCGAGCTCGAGTTCGAGCTGGTGAACTCGCAAGCCGGCTCAAATAAATATTAATATTTTTTAATAATTTTATTTTATTTAATAAATTTAAATATTTTTAAAACTTTAATAAAAATCACCTAAATTTTATTTAAATATTAAATAGTTCATCTTTTTTTCTAAATTTTGATTAAGTTTTAAGAATCCAGCTTAAATTTTAAAAATATCACATAAATTTTAAAATTTCCGCCCATGGCCGGTGAGCCAGCTCGAGCTCGTTTACAGTGGAACGAGAGCCAGCTCGAGCTCGCTTTCCAACTAACAAGCAGAGCTCAATAAAGCCAAAACTCGACTTGACTCGACTCGTTTACACCCCTAGTTACATCTGCTAGCCCCATTGCTTTGTGTTGGGACCATAAAATCAAAAGTGCTATTAGATTTAAGATTTCTAAATGAAAAAAAACAGGCATCTTTTGAGCGAGAGAAAGCCAAATTTTTGAGCTTATTTGGAGCTCATGCTTGTGTTGGTTCTGTTTGGTGATGGATTGTTGGGCCTGATCCTGTAGACTTCCTCATACGACAGTTTTTTTTTTTTTTTTTTTGTGATGAAAATTTACTGTGATGGATTGTTGGTTCCATCATATTTCCTTATTCCATGATGCAGCCTTGTTGTCATCTAGAAATTTTGGTCTAGGAGGTTTTGTTGGGTTTGCGGCCCTGGATGATGATAGATTATTCTATGCGGACACCGAACACAGCTTATTGTCCAGAGTCAAATCAGGTGCAACCACATCATTCAGTACCGAGCTACGGTACCGAGTAGGGGGTTACGTGGCGTATTTTCATTGAGCTCTGAATGGCATTCAACGTCCGCGCAGAATAATTCGTCCTGGATGATAATGGTATCCTGTCTTAAGGCTCCTCCCCTCAAACGGTCCCCCAGCAAGCACCCAAGCAGGGTAGTCTTTTTATGCCAATGTTCTTTAATGCTGTGTTCTAATTGTATATTTTATTATTTCTGAGTCCAGGCCTTGATTTATTCTCTATTGTTTTTTTTTTCATTTTTACTCTGAATCATTAAAAAAAAAACTCTGCTCTGTAATAAAGCTTACTGCAACCTAAAAGAAACAAAATAGAGCAATGAAGTTCATAGTTCAAGCAAAGCAGAGGTATGAAGAATATCAGTTACCTTATAAGTACCTCTTCCATTGACTAGTATAAAATAGCTCAGTAGCAGAACATTCAAACTAACAGAAACATTTATTTAAACAGTTCCAGGCGACCATTCACTTCATCTTCGCCTCTGTGAAAAGAACATGTCGATTCACTCTCGGATCATATTTTCGAAACTCGAGTTTCTCAGTGATTCTCCTTGGGTTCTTGCGTTTTACGTAGAAAAAACCAGTTCCAGCAGCAGAAACCAACCTGATGAAGATTGAACCAGCCTTTCTAGCACCCTCTTTCCCCATTCCTTGTGATCAGGTACCTGAAAGCACAGTTTAATCAATTAGGATGCTCTAATGGCTTTGATAATCTGGTATGAAAAAGATACATGGAGTTACAATAGCAATGCTGGTATCTTTCTACTAATTTTCAAGTGTCGAATGAAGCGCAAAATGCGAAAAGCTAAGCAATTTTTTCTATAACGCTCAAGAAAACTTTTCTTCTAACAACAATTGTGCAGGAAATATAAGTATGAAGTCTAAAAACAAACAATCACACTTTGGCATCTCAATCTGCCGAAAGTCAAAATTTTGGTAATTCAGTGAGGAATTTGTTAACTTAGCAAATATCAGTATTGTTTCCCTCAAGTGATTCTAGATCATCAAAATCATTTTGCATAATCCACTCTAAAACTTGAGGACCCTTAAAATTCCAAATATCTCAAGAACTAATAATTATTATATTAATTGATATCATGAGTCATTATTTCTATCCGTCGCCATCATATCGGAGCTAGCATTGAAGAGCTTTGAAAAGAAATTAACAAGACTTTCAGCTAAATATTATTCCCATTTTTTAAAAGAGAAAGGCATTATCACCTATCTTAATATCCTAACACCCACAAATAATATGGTGTGGCTGAAAGGAAAAGTAAAAATCTCCTTGAAGTAGCCTAGGCTTTGCTTTTGCAAAATTATACTCCAAAAAGTCATTGGAGAGAATCTGACTTAACGTCCATCTACTTAATTAATAGAATACTCTCCATAGTCATTAGCTTACAAACCCATTAATTATTTCATTGAATACTTCCAAAGAAGAATTTTTTAACAAAAATCCTTCCAAGAATATTTGAATGTGCTCATATAATCACATTCATATAATCACATTCAGATAAGTATCGAACAAAAAGGCAAACTTTGATCTAATATCACATAGGCGCCTGCTGTTAGGATAATCGCCCCAAAAAAAGGATGCAAGTGTTTTCATCCAATCCCAAAATTATTCATCATCTCATAAGATGTCACATTTTAAACAATCCATCTTTTCATCACACTTATCTTCAAGGGGAAATTTTCAAAAGAAAGATAAAATTTGTGTGTTCGATATTTCATCATTAAATATTCCATAAATAACTCTCAAATCAACTTTTTATTCTATAAAGTCAAATCATGGCCTAGAACTAGTTCCTAACAATGATTTGGGTAATCATAACATGCTAAGTCTATACAAGGTCATGCCCTACCCAAAAACCCTTGCAAGTTCAAGACTCCATAACCATATCAAGCACCTCCTTTCCTGCACTCTTGATTTCCACTCCAAACATTGTTGATCTTTATTAACTTATTGTTATAAAGAAAGGTGCAACATAATGTAAACTACTATCCTAACCACTCAAAACTACTAATCATATTTGAGACATTGGAATATTAGAATTGGAAGACATGAGAGAGAAGATGAAGGCTCTAAAAAGGAATAACACCTCGGAGATAGTTAATTTACCAACAATTAAAAGAGTTGATGGGTGTAAATGGGTGTTTGAAGTAAATGAAAAGCTAATGGATCATGACAAGATTTAAACATATTGTTGGTGCCAAGCGATGCAATAAGCCAACATGTTTGGATTCACACGTCAGCTTATGTCAAGCTGGGGAAGCAAGTCAATGGAGTAATGTGCAGGCAAAAGTATGCACAGAAATGCTTTGGATTGCATGAGCAAAAAATAAGGAAGCATTTAGAGCAGAGTTGTGGGAAGCATGAGAGTTTAACAAACATGAGAAGGAAGCTGGGAGGGAGATGTAAGCTAAGAGAAGGGTAGGACTGTAGGAGTGTCCAAATTTGACACGAATCGAAAACCCGACCCAAACTTGACCCAAAAATTCCAGGTTAGGGTCAACCCATTTGAGAAACGAGTCGGGTTAGGGATTCCAACCCATTTGTAAAACTGGGTTCGGTTTGGGTTGACTCGAAAACCCAAAACCAACTCGGGTTGACTCAGGAACATCACACATGAGTCGTGACCTTGCCCCATCCGTGCTAGCTTGCCACTTTGACATCATCCTGTCTGCGCTGGTCAATTTCTTTTTATTGAAAATCAAATAAATTGATTTATATGGTAATGGTAGAAGTCAATAGCTGCCCCATATAAGTAGCTGGCAAGATGATAATGATGATGGTGGTTGCCAACGGTGGTGGCACACCTCAAAGTTGTTTTGAGTGCTTTTAAAAATAACTTGATTAAAAATTAAAAATAAAAAAGTTAAAAAAACTGACTAAACAAATGTATTCTTGAAAAACAAAAAGAGAAATCCCAAACAAATCCCCTAGCTTCCCAAAAGATTACTTTTTATGGATTTTAACTTTTTTTCCTAATTAACTAATGAACTAATTAGTTAATTTTGATATATTTATTACCATTGTGATAGTTTACAATAATTTTGTGAAGTTACAATAATATTCATTGTAGTTATTCAATCAAATCATATAATATCAATTAACTTAAAATAAGAAAATTTTAGTTTACTAACACACACACACACAAAAAGCTGTTTTTTAATTACTTGATCAAAGGCCATAGGTAAAGAGGGCGGCGCTAAAAATGCTGGTTGAATCTTTATCAGTTTGGTTTCAGCAGCTAGAACTGGTTTTTTCTAAGTGAAGCACATAAATTAGAGGAGAATCACTGAGAAGCTCAAGTTTTTCGAAAGTAAGATCCAAGAGTGAATCGACCTATGCTTTTCAAAGAGGAAAAGATGAAGGCTGAAGCTCTTCAAGGGGCTGTTTGGCAACAGGATTTAAGCCGGATTTGAGAAGGATTTAGCGTAAATCCTGTCAAACGGGATTTACGCTCGACATAAATCTCACGGCGGAATAAATCCTCCATTTCCCTCTTTCTGCCGTAAATCCCGGATTTACTAAATCCTGTAGTTCGGCGGATTTACGGGATTTGGCCGAAGGAGCGCCAGAAAGGGAGAAAGTTACCTTCACAGCGAGCGAGCACCCTTCCGATAAAAATGTCGTAACTTCTTATTGGACAGGAAAAGGGAACGTCGTCGAAGGAGCTAAGCCGAACAACAACGAAGGAGCCGAAGAAGCCACTCGTGCAATCTTACACCTCCTGGGAAGCAAGCAAGCCAAACAGCAACGACGAAAGATTAAAAAAAAAAAAAGATGAAAAGCAAACCCTAGACGTCTCTAATGTTAACTTAATTAATATATAAGTTAAAATATTAATAATTAAGTAAATTAATTATCTAATTTAATTTAATTAATAATTAGTAATTAAAATTAATATAATTAGCTTAATTAATATAATTTAAAATATAGATTACTAAACATATAATTAATAGTATAATAATAATTAAATAATAACATTAAACCCACCTCCCCCACCACCACCAATCGCCGTTACCCTCCGTCAGCCACCAACAAACATCAGCAACCACCTATCGTAGACTGCCATAGTTGTCTGCCGCCACCCGCCACTTGTTGTCACCACCTAATCAGCTACCACAATTGGCCACCGCCACTCGTTGCCAGCCATCACCATCAACCACCATCTTAAGATTTTACACTACACTCATTTAATTCCAAAAAAAATAAGAATATTTATTTAAATTTACTTTACAATAATCTAAATTATTCTAAATATTCCTTTTCCGCTATATATATTTTTTACACTATATTTCTTTTTTAGTCACCCAAAAGTCCCTCAACTATATAACTAAAACATATAACTTGATAATATATCAAATTATATTTTAAAAAAGTTATAATCTTTTCGTTTAATCAAAACCCAAAAAAAAAAACCCTAACTGAAGCATGATGATTTGATAGAAACATCATTGGCAGATAAAGCAATCTCCAAAAAAGCAACTGTTTCCAATCTTAACCAGCAGTTTCTTATAGCATGTTGGAGATGCTGTGGTAGCACGGAATTAGGCTTCGTTTAGGATGGCTTTTTTACTATTTTTTGAAGCGATTTTTTAGTACAAAATTTTTAATTTTTGTACTAGAAAGCCGCTTCAAGAAGCAGTAAAAAAACCGTCCCAAACAAAACCTAAACCTTATAAAAAGTATATATGATTCAATGTTCTCCTCAAGCAGGATAGATGTGGTGACCATCTTATAATTCAGATGAATTGAGAGCTAACTTCTATGACATTCTTAAGTATGCACAAGACCAGCAGATTAAACAGACAATAAGGAGAAAGATAGTATCAGTAGGGATTCTTCGAAACCAAGCTATTCAATGGCTTATATTTCTTGGCTTTGTTTTTAGAGGTAATATGGCTCATAGTTATATTTTTTTAAGAAAATAAAGAAGAATATGCACAAACTCCAATAGTGGCACCATAGAATCAATCCAAATTTCAAAGAAAAACATTAAATTATTGTAAGTGTTTAAAAAAGGATTGTGCATGCTCCAAAGCATCAACACTACGAAATTATCATGCAAGTCAGAACATAATAAGAAAGTTAAACATCAACAACAAAAAATTTATTATAAAAAACCTTAATAAAAGATAAAAAAGATATCAGTCTTCTGGAATTGTTCATTTTTGCACTTCAAACGCATGATCGAAAAGAAAATTTCTTCACATATTGTAGACATTTGCTGAGTTTTTTTTTTCCCTCATGATTTTAAAGATTTAATTGATGTTAATGAATAGATTCATTGCTAGTCGCTCTACCGCTCAAACTATACTGCACTCAAGGGACATGTATGGGGAAAATTATTCTGTGTGGATGAGGAATGCAGTTTATCGTCCGTAGACCAACTAGAATGTGTCACATCAGCAATACCGAGCCGGGTACCAAGCGGTACCGAGCAGGAGGTTATCTGGCGCATTCTGGTTGGTTATCTAGATTGTGTTCAACTTCCGCACACAGAATAATTTCTCCATAGAATAAGTATTATTTCCGGGATTGTAGGCATCATTGATTGGGCCATGAGAGCAGATGAACATGTAGAAAAAGACTACTAAAAAATTTATTCGAATGCAACCACACCTGAGGAAGGGGAGAATGCAAATTAGCACAAGCAAGTTTCGATCTGATAAAGATAAAGGAATCATTAACTCATTGTGCAAAAGACCATGTGACTAATTCAATGGCAAAAAAGCCTCCAACAAGGCAAAGGCAAGTGTGGCAAGTGTCAAAGAGAGTCATGAAGTGGAAGATAAGGGCAACGAGTTGTGAGGGGCAATTTTTGCCTTTTTAGGTTTTAAGGATAAATTGGCCAAAACCAAAGCTGAGGAGACAGATCCTCTAATGTTTTTTTGTAGTTTGACTGCAAACTGATTAGTATGATCCGAATTTGGTAACACAAACACAACCTACAATCTCATAATAAACTTCGGTCGTTTGGAACTGCTTTCTTACTGTTGCTTTTACAAGTAACAACAGGACCCAACATTAACATGCGCACTGTAGAAAATTAATAAATTGACAGCAAAACATAAGGTTAAAATTTTTATAAAAATTGTTGTAGATACCATATCTAAAATTAAAAAATGTATTGTAAATATATATTTACAATAAAAAAATGATTTTGTAATGAATGAAAGAATGGGATGGGTTTAATGATTATCCCTGTAGCTCACCAGTTGTTAATGATAGGATCAGACTCCCATTCAATTTTAGTAGTTAGTACCTCACAAAAGACAAATACCATGAAATCGTCTAATGATCTCTGATAAGTGATTGAAGCGCAGATATGTGAAAGCACCTTCACTACAGCTTCCACATCATGTAAGAAAAAAAAAGAAGTTTTATTTCTACGAACAGGTTATAGCTTCAGCAACAGTCATTTCCCAGAATAAGATTGCATCTAGAGTTAACTTAATAGGATCCTCGATCATAATCGGACAATTCGAGCTTGCTCAAGCTCCAAGAAGAAAGAACAAAAAGAAACAAGATAGAAGATGAGGAATTTATTCCCATGTCTCATTCTTCGCAAATGGAGGTATTCATATACGACAATTCACAAGGCCAACTAACTCAACTTACTACTAAGCTAATTAAATTTGGGCTTCGATGGTCCCTAGAGCCGACAACACGCATCACATAATGAGAAAAAATCATAAATCCTTCAATGTTATACTTCAGATTATCCAAAAAAAAGAGAGAGAGAGAGAAGATACAAAAACCATAGAGCCGACACATGTATGAGAAAACTTTGGATGATCTCTCCCAAATAATAATTAAACCTCATGTCTAGGTCTAACTCACATAGTATCCATTAAAGCCGATGGCATGCAAGAGCACAAAAATTATAAACCCTAAATGATCAAAATTGAATAATCCAAACTCGATCCATAACAGATCTAGCGTGAGCTCGCAGATCTCTTACAAACCCACAGATAAATGTAGCATAAATAATTAGAAGATAAGGAATACATACATTCAGAAGCAGATGATAGTAAGAGAAGACAGGTCCAAGAGGAAGGGAAGGTCGGTCGGCCAACAAAAGACGAAGGCTCGGAGCGACGACGATATCTGCTTCTCGAACTCCCTCAACGGGGTTTTGGCCTTTTGGAGCTAATTGGCAGCAATTATGACTTAGGCCTCGTTTGATAAGGCTTTTTTTCTCCGTTTCCGTTTGAATACGCCGAAATCAATTAGTATTTACTGTTTGGAATCAAAGCTTAACAATAATTCCTTTTTAATAAACATCGTTTTTTCGGCGGTTACAAAATTCTTTTCGTATCTGCTTCTTCGGTCACAAAACGGAGTTTCGG